AGGGAGAAGAGGGGCGGGAGGATGAGGAAGGAGGGGCGGGAGGAGGCCTGGTCCGGACTCCCTGATGCCCCCTCCGAGTGCCAGGAGGATGTCGAGGGGGAGGTGGAATGTGGGGGAGGATGGAGGGAGAAGAGGGGGCGGGAGGAGCGGGAGGATGAGAGGAGAAGGAGGGGGAAGGAAAGAGAAGAGGAGGCCTGGTCCGGGACTCCCTGATGCCCCCTTCCGAGATGCCAGGAGGATGTCGAGGGGGAGGTGGAATGTGGGGGAGGATGGAGGGAGAAGGAGGGCGGGGAGGATGGAGGGAGAAGGAGGTGGAGGGAGGAGGCCTGGTCCGGACTCCCTGATGCCCCCTTCCGAGATGCCAGGAGGATGTCGAGGGGGAGGTGGAATGTGGGGAGGATGGAGGGAGAAGGAGGGGCGGGAGGAGCGGGAGGATGGAGGGAGATGGAGGGGGCGAGATGGAGGAGGAGAGGAGGGGGGAAAGAGGAGAGGGAGAGGGGGAAGGAAGGAGAGGAAAGAGGGAGAACGAGGGAGAGGGAGGAGATAAGGAGAGAGAGAGAGGGAATTCCCCCAATCGAAATGCCTGGAGGTGATCGAGGAGGCCTGGTCCGGACTCCCTGATGCCCCCTTCCGAGGTGCCAGGAGGATGTCGAGGGGGAGGTGGAATGTGGGGAGGATGGAGGGAGAAGGAGGGGGCGGGAGGAGCGGGGAGGAGCGGGAGGATGGAGGGAGAAGGAGGGGCGGGAGGAGGGAGAGGAGCGGGGAGGATGAGGAGAAGGAGATGGATGAGGGGGAAAGAGGTAGAGGGAGGAGGGGAAGGAAGGGAGAGGAAGAGGGAGAACGAGGAGAGGGAGGAGATAAGAGAGAGAGAGAGGGAATTCCCCAATCGAAATGCCTGGAGGTGATCGGAGGAGGCCTGGTCCGGACTCCCTGATGCCCCCTTCCGAGGTGCCAGGAGGATGTCGAGGAGGTTGGAATGTGGGGGAGGATGGAGGGAAGGAGGGATCGGAGGAGGCCTGGTCCGGACTCCCTGATGCCCCTTCCGAGGCCCGAGGAGGTGGAATGTGGGAGGATGGGGAGAAGGAGGGCGGAGGAGCGGGAGGATGAGGGAGAATGGGAAGGAAGAGAAGGAGGAGGCCTGCGTCCGGACTCCCTGATGCCCCCTTCCGAATGCCAGGAGGATGTCGAGGGAGTGGAACGTGGAGGATGGAGGGAGAAGACGGGAGGAGCGGAGAGAGCGGGGAGGATGGAGGAGAAGGAGCGGAGAAGGAGGGCGGGAGAGGGAAGGATGAGGGAGAGGAGTGGAGGAGAGGAGGATGGAGGAGAAGGAGGGATGGAGAGCGTGGAGGGAGGAGGCGAGGAAGAGAGAGAGGAGAAGAGAGAGGCGGGAGGAGCGGGGAGGATGGAGGAGAAGGAGGTGGAGGAGGAGATGGAGGAGGGGAAAGAGGTAGAGGGAGGAGGGAAGGAAGGGAGAGGAAGAGGGAGAACGGGGAGAGGAGGAGAGAAGGAGGAGAGAGAGGGAAAATGAGGAGGAAGGAGAGGAGATAAGAGATGGAGGGAGTAGGAAACGGAGGATCGTAGAGGAGGGAGGGAGAAAGAAGAAGGAGAAGGGGAGGAGAGGGGAGATAGGAAGGAGGAAGAGGGAAGAGGGAGGGAGGAGGAGGTGAGAAGGGGAAGGGAGGAGGGGGAGAGAGTGGGCAGGGGAGAAAAAGGGAGAAGGGAGAAGAAAGGGAAGGGGAAGGGATTGGGGAGATGAACGGACAGACTGAGAAAGATGGAGGCGATTGAGAAGGGGAGGAGAAAGATTAAGATAATAAAGGAAAAAATACTGCAAAAAAGTAATTAGGCAAAATAGAAACCGAATTTTTACAAAGTGAGAAGAAGGGAAATGAAAAGAATTGAAATAACAGGGTTTGAAAAAACATACAAAAACAAAGGAATCAGAAAGAGAGAGAATATCTAATAAACAACATAAACTTCAGCGAAACAAAGATAGGGAAGGAAAACGAAAACAGAAACGGAAATAAAACAGAAATAAATCAGAATGACTCACAAAATGAGTCAGAAGAGAAACCTTAAGAAAAAATAAATAAAAAAGACAATAAATGTTGACGAATGTAAATTAAAATCTGAATAGGGAAACAAGTCCTCGAAAGCAGGTAAAGAATGTGGAGAGAGTGAGAGAGCGAGAGTAAGAGTAAGAGTAAATTTAAGAGCATGAGTATGAGGAAGTGTAAGAGTGAGAATGAGAGAGATCTGTCACGATAATATAAAAGTGAAAACAATACTATAGGGACGATAATACCAAGCAGACAATTGTATATGTGTTGACATACGAATATGTATGTATATGTGTATAAATGTATATATATTACACACACACACACACACACAAATATGTGTGTGTGTAATACACATGCATACATACATACACACACACACACATACACACAACGCACACCACACACACACATATATATATATATATATATATATATATATAATATATATATATATATATATATGTGTGTGTGTGTGTGTTGTGTGTGTGTGTGTGTGTGTGTGTGTGTGTGTGTGTGTGTGTGTTGTGTGTGTGTGTGTATGTTACACACACACATGTATATATATATATATATATATATAATATATATATATATATATATATATATATATATATATATATATTCATATCCACACTTTCCTTACGTAAACAAGGCGTTTCATGAACAGAAAACGAGATTTTCCATTTACCAAACAAATTCAGCGTCGCGGCGAAAACGCTTTCTGTCGGAGCTCTTTTTAGCCGACTGATAAAACGACACCAAATCATATATAACAACGACGCTCTTGTTTTCTTTTTTTTAACGTTTTTTTTTTTTTTTTTTTTTTTTTTTTAACACTAGTTTGCCACGATCTGCATTTCATACCGCGGCCGACCGAGCGAAATTAGAAATGAGAGCGAGAAATTAAAATCGTAAAAGAGCTTTTTTTTTATTCACGGCGGAAATGGCGGACGATAAAAGTTAAAAAAAAAGGACTCGAATTAGAAAAATGTAATAAGGAAATTAGCTTTTGTTGATGGAGGATAAAGTTCTTATTAAAGGTAATTTATAAAAGCTAAATCGCGGTGAAGAGCTTGTCAAGAAGATAATGTTAATGATCATATTGATAACTATTGATAACCGCAACAATAATTCTGGCTTATCAAGGAAGAGAACGATAGTATTTGCGAATATTATTATCTGTGTCATGATCAGCCTGGAAATTATATCGGGACGAAATTAACGTAATGGTAACGATAATAACAGTAAGAGAATATAAATAGATGACGATAAAGATGACGGTGATGTTATGATAAAGATAATGATAATGATGCTAGCGACAATGACAAAGGGATGATTATGATAATGATGTGATTATGATGATTGTAGCGATGATAATGATAATAGGCCTACAAGAATGGCATTAATAAACAGTATATGACATATCAATTAAAACATGCTAAGCAGAAGAATACACTAGACCAATAAAATCCACGAAAGAATAAAGATAAAAGCGAAAACAAACCCAATAAAAGACACAATAAGCCAGATAATAATAAGGTCCCTCACGTGATACCGACGCTATAGACACAACAAACACTATAGACGCAAGGAAACATAACAGGTTCCCGGTCGCCTTGTATAGCCCCGCGATAAAGGATCGGATAGCGCATAGAGGATTCCGGAGCCGCGGGAGCTGAAGACGAGGAACAAAAGCCAAGCGTTTCCGCCCGAGTGGGTGTGAGGGCGTGGAACAATGTCGCCCCCTCCTCCCCCCTGCCCTCTCCTCTTCCCCCTCCGCCCTCTTCTTGTTCCCAAAAATCCCTCCGAAAGTTTGGACAAAATGTTTGAAGACCTGAACAATAACAGTCGTCTAAACGCGTAGAACCTTGATATACCAATCAGCCAGTGAATGTGCGGTACAGACAGGAATACGACAAAGTAGAGAAGATGAGACACGATGTCGTCGTTGACCACTTATTTCCTGCTTGTCTATTTTTTCTATTCGTCTTTCATTCAACCTATCTTAGTTAAATTCTCTAGTGTGTTGCACATTTGATGTATTAGAGTTATTGCTCTAAAAATAGAAAAATATATTTTTAATATCGCTTATGGGGTCTATATCGAATGCATATTTTATTCACTGATCATCTATATTGCAAACAAACAAAACGATATCTATATATATATGCACGGACGTACGCTGATGCTAGATCATATACAATCAAGAAATTGCCACTAGAGAAAGAGATCTATCCATCTGCCTTATACTGCGAAATTACCTAAGACTATCGTGCTCACGAAACTCACTAGTATCATGTCTTCGAATCTGAAATATCTCTCGTCAGCTATTCAACTCTCTCTATATATATCCTGCTATAAGTCAATATTAACATGTCCGCACGTCATGCGTACACAGAACGAGATATGATGTTACATATTTT